GTTGGTGTGTGAAAGGTTGTGCAGGCCTGCTCTATACTCTCTCAGAGTGAGGCTGGTGACTTTGCACAACTCTGCCTCACTTAAATCCAGTTCACTTGCAAGTCAAGACATCACCTTCCTGAAGTCACTGGTCCTCTTGCAGAACAAAGGGTGAACAGCAACAAACAAGACTGTCTTTTGGTGATACTCACCCACTCCCATTGGTTTATCATCTTTCTTCAGATGATTCCCAGATCTATTTATTCCTCCCAAATCTCTCTCCCTATGGGCAGCTAGGTGGTACAGTGGATAGAATGCCAGGCCTGCAATCAGAAGGACTTGCGTTCAAATACAGCCTCAGACTTATGACCCTGGGCAAGTCACTTAACCTTGCTTGCCTCAGTTCCCTCATCTGTAAAATGAGTTGGAGAAGGAAAAGGCAAACCACTCCAGTATCTCTGCCAAGAAAACCTCAAGTGGGGTCACGGAGAGTTGGACATGACTGATAAATGTCAGCAGGCAAGAGCAACGTCATGAGACTTATTTGAAAACCAGATTTATCACAAGAGAAATGAACATGCATGTGGAACCCAAAGAGATCACAGTCCTTACAGAAGTTTGCATATTTATGACGGTGCAACAAAAGGAGGTGGTGAAAACAGGAATGGGAGGTGAGAGGCGCAGTAACCCCTCCTGAAGGCAAGGAGCAAGGCTCTGGCAAAAGCCACCTTCTTTTCCCTTGGGAACCTTTAGACTGGGAAGATAGCCCGGGGGTTCACTTATCTGCAAAGGACCCCAGCTGCACAAGCATTTTCCCAGACTGGCACAGACTGGCTAGCACCTGTCTTGACTCCCAGGGATACACACCGAATCCAGCTTGGGGTGCAAACAACAAACTGTGGCAGCTGGAAGTGGGGTGGGGACTTTGTCCTTGACACATTGAGGGTCTCCTGCATGCTCTGTCTAGTGTTCCTGGAAAATATGGCAACTCAAAAAGACAAGTTCAGCGACTCCTTACCAGCCCTTAACAGAAGCGACTGAACAATGACAACAATCTCTCTGTAGCTCCAGTCTCTACGTCACTACCTGCCTGTTGGACATCTCATAGGCGTCTCAAATTCAACATGTCCAAAATAGAACTCATCTTCCCTCCCCTGCTTCTGATCTTTCCCATTTCTAGCTATCCTGTTTCCCTGGATTTGCAACCTTGCTGTCATCAGCCTCTTACCTATCTAACCAAGTGCCAAAACTTGTATTTTCTCCTTCTACACCATTCCTGGCATATGTCCCCATCTCTCCACTTACAGACCCTTATCACCTCTTCCTTGGACTATTGCAACAGTTTCCCAATTGGTATCCTTGACTCAAGTCTCTCCCCTTTCCATTCCATCCTACACTCTGCTGCCAAAGGGACTTTCCTGAAGAACGGACCAGGTCACTCACCTCCTCAATAAACCCCCATGGCTCCCTATGACTTCTAATAGAGATCAGATATAAACTCCTCTCTTTGGCACAATAGGCCCATCAAACCAAGCTCCAAGGTCCCTTTCTAGCCTTATAACACGATTGCCCTTCATGGACACAATAGTCTAGTCAGACTGGACTTCTAACTGTTCCCTACCCTATCTCCCATCTCCGAGCCTTTGCACAGGCTGTAATTCATGCCTGGAATGCACTCCCTGCTTACCATCCTCCTCATGGAATCCCTTTTTTCTTCTCCAGGAAGGACCTCAAGCTTCACCTTCTATATGATGCCTTTCCTGGTCTTTCCCTTCTCCTCCCGCTTCCCCCATCCCAGCTACCCGTGCATTCTTTTTCCAAATCACCTTGTATCCATTTTGCTTATGCCTAGTGAATGGGAAGCTGATGCAATCCCTGACATGAAGAGGCTGGGGAGCCTGCTTCTAGGAAGGCAGGATGGCAAAGCACAGAAGCTACTTGGAGATAATTTGGAGCACACGCAGACATTCTGTCACTGGTTCTGGTCTGCTCGCCACATGTTGTCATGTTTTTCATTGGCGGTATAGCCAGGCATGGCAGGGAGGGGTGGGCATTCAAAAGGCACTGGTCATTTAGATCTTGACCTTCCTGCCTGCCTGAATTCTGGTGAGAGATAGGGTGATGCTTTAAGGGGAGAGGTCTCATAGTCCCACGTATGGCCCACTTCTGTTCTTTGTCTCCACATTTGTCCTTTTCTATTTCAGGTGAGGGCAGCTAGGTGGTACAGTGGTTAGAACACTGGGCTTGGAATCAAGAAGACTCATCTTCATGAGTTCAAATCCAGCCCCAAAACTTTACTAGTGTGTGACCCTGGGCAAGTCACTTAAGCCTGTTTGCCTCAGTTCCCTCATCTATAAAATGAGCTGGAGAAGGAAATGACAAACCACTCCAGTATTTTTGCCAAGAAAACCCTAAATGGGGTCAAAAAGAGTTGGACACAACTGAAGTAATTGAACAACAACAACAAAATTTACTGAGAAGGATTGGCAAGGACAGAATTACAAAAACATCCCCCTAAACACAGGCTCACTCTAAACCAAAGCAATGCCACATATGGGGTCGCATAACTGAATGTGGAACTGGCAAAAAATTTGGCAACAGTAAAAGGTTTCTGGACACGCAACAACCAAAAATTAATTCAAAATCAAATGCATAATGAATCCAAGGTGTTTATGACAGCACTTGACCATTCTGTATCATGTGACTTCACTGCAGCCTTGGCTCTGAACACAAAGCATGTGCACTTTGTACTGCCCGTGCCATCATGCCATGCAATGCCAATGAACGCTGCCAGAAACATCTTGACTCAGATTCGAGACTATTGTATGTTATGAATTCCAGTGTTTTTACTGTACATTCAAAGTTTTCTGCTCTTACAGAAACGTAATAGTTTAATTACAGAAAATAAAGACTTTTGATATTTTCTTACCATCATTTTTCAGCGTGTAAGTATCAAGTTAGTGTATCTTTGGATTGTATTGTGTTAGAATGTTTGATTTTAAAAATTGCTGTTATCTCCTTCTTTTAAAGAAACATAAGTGTTTAATTTGCAGCAAGTAAAGACAAAAGCCCTTTAATAATGTTTATCCAACATCATTGCTGTATGTGTATGTAAATGTGAACATCAGTTTTTAAAATTAAGCACAAACAAATGTAATTTCATAAACTAAAACTAGTATTTATTTGGGAAATTATTAGGAATATTTATTTACATTTTAGGATGAAAATACTTTTCAGTTGTGGATAAGTGGCTAAATTTGCACAGAAAAGGTAAAAATACTAATGACAGTGCAACTACCAAATTGTAGTACACCTAAATCGACAAAAAAAAAGAAAACGTGTCGAATCATTTTTGCAATATGGATTTATTTCCAATAATGATGATGGTGTGGAAAAACTTCTTTTCTTAATTTATAATGAAGTTTTGGCTTCAGAGAGCATGAAACCAGGCAAGCTAAAATGACATCTTAATCCCAAGTGTGCAGCATACTACAATTAACCAAAGGAATATTTTGAAAGACTTTTAAAATCTTCAAATAAAGAAAAACAATGTTTTGAGAAATTTGTTACTGTCAATTAAAAACATTTATTTGCATCTTATGAAAGTTCTTACTTAATTGCAAAAACTAAAAAGCCCTACACAATAGGAGAAGATCTCTTGTTACCTGTTGCTATTAAAATGCCAGAAATAGTACATGGGAAAAAGCATGGGGATGAAATTCATAAAATTCCTTTATCCAATGATGCTGTTTCCAAAAGAATTTCTGAAATAAGTAATGACCAATTCCAGCAGCTTATTATCAGGCTTAAGGGCAGCCTGTGCCGGCCGTGCTGTGCACTCTCCTCCTGTAAGGAGCAGGCTGCCAGAGTCATACTTACCAGTCTTTGGAGCCTACCCGGATAAACACACAGAGACGAGCCCATCAGGAGGTGCCAACACTGGAACTTTATTCAGAGGCCATCACAGCAAGGCCAAGCAGGAAGGCCATAGCAAGAGAGCAGGAGCAAAGAGAGCGCGTGCTCCGACCACGACCGTTCCTTAAGTACCTACTTAGCCCCTCCTCCTCAGCCCGCCTACTAGTCAATGATTGTAGGGTCAGATACCGGAAGGGGATGTCTGAGTTTAGCGCACCAAGGGAGAGGAAGTGACGCAGGAGGCTAGGACCGGATACAGGAAGGAGGCGTCTGGGATTAGTGCATAGACAAAGAGAGAGCACGTGACCCAGGAAGTCAGGCCCAGATACCGGGAGGAGGCGTCTGGGGTCAGTGCTACACAAAGGGAAGGTACGTGACCCAGGAAGTCAGGAAGGACACAGGAAGGAGGCGTCTGGGGTTAGCGTTGTACCTAGGGAGGGGGCTAGACAAAGGAACACGTTCTCTGCCCTCCCACTCCCA